TTTTTGGTTTTTCGAGACAGGGTTTCTCTGTGTAGCTTTGTGCCTTTCCTGGAACTCACTTGGTAACCCAGGCTGGCCTCGAACTCACAAAAATCCGCCTGCCTCTGCCTCCCGAGTGCTGGGATTAAAGGCGTGCACCACCACCGCCCGGCTGCTGGTGAAATTTTATAAGGACTTTACCATGGTGCTTGGCCCCATCAGTATTATTATGAGAGAACAGGTTACTAGAAAGGGCTTCCTGGAGGAAGGGACATCTGAGCCAAGGCCCAAAGGAGTTGTAGGCAGGAGTACCCCAGCTGAAGGCGATCTGGAGCGGAACAGTCTCCCAAAGGAGTGAGTTGACAGGATGTGGCCCTAGGCCTGAGGGCCTCTTGCAGGAGAAGGAGTCTTTGGAGTCCTTCCACGGTCTTTCTGGAACCAGTGCCTGGCCTCCAGGTGGGCTGGCATGCAGAGGAAGGACAGCGGAGGCAGTGGGTGGTGGACACTCTAATTTAGCCCGGGGCGAGACTAGCAGAAGACTGTAGGGAAGTCCAAAGATAGCTCAGCCAGAATGACTCGCCGCCTGGGCTTCCCCCTTCCAAGCCAGGATGAATCAGCCTGGGTCGCAGGAATGCAGGCCTGGGTCCCAGGCCCAAGGCCACTGGGCTCTGACTCACACGGGGCAGGGCAGGCGGGCAGACCAGCCAGGGACAGGACGGCTGGGAAGCCGGGCCCTGCAGCCGGATATGTGGCTTCCTGGCTGGAACCTTGGATCAGGCCTGTGTGTTCTGCAAACTCAGTTTCTAGATCTGTGTAATGGGGAAGTTGAGGTAGGGGTGACGATCGAGGTTCGGGATTTACAAAGAGCAAGATAGCTGGGCTGCCGAGAGGGCTCAGTGATGAAAGGCGCTTGTCCCCAAGCCCGGTGACCTGAGTTTGATCCCTGGGACTCAGATAATAGAAGGAAAGAAGCGACTCTTTCAAGCAGTCTCCTGACCGCCACATGTGCCCATGGTATCCACACAAGCACAAGCACATGCACGCACGCACGCACGCACGCACGCACGCACAAAATGTGTTTTTTAAAAACAAAACAAAAGAGCACTAGTCAGAGGTGGTACATGACTGGAATCCCAGCACTCAGGAGGCCGAGGCACAAGGATTGAGTTCAAGGACAGCCTGGACTACCAAGTTCCAGGGTAGCCAGGGCTACATAACCAGACCCTGTCTCAAATAGAACAGCAGAGCCGGGGAGATGCCTCAGTTGGCACAGTGCATGCAGAGCAAGCCTGAGGCTTGGACCCCAGAACCCATGTGACAACAGCCCCCATGGCGGTGCCTGGGAAGGCAGACACAGGCTGATGCCTGGCACTCTCCAGCCACGAATCGGTGTTGTGTGTTCCATACCAGCGACTCATCCTGTCCGCAAAGAAAAGAAAAGGAAGGTGGGGGCCGGATGTAGCAGCTCACATCTTTAATCCCAGCAGAGGCAGGTGGATCTCTGTGAGTTCGAGGCCAGCCTGGTCTACAGAACAAGTTCCAGGACAGCCAGGGCTACACAGAGAAACCCTTCCTCAGAAAAAGAGAAAGGTGGACCAGAGCCTGAGGATGACACCCAAGCTTGATCTGTGGCACACACACACACACACACACACACACACACACACACACACACACACCAATACAAAATGAAAAGCAAGGTTTAAAACCTGGGCACACAGTAGGTGCTCTGTCAGCTCCAGCTCCCCCTCTTCCTGAGACCCAGCCAGCTCCACGTGAGCGATTGTGAAACTACTGTGTGTGGCAGCGTGGGTGCCTGCTCATCCCTCGGTGTGTGACTTGGCGTCTAGGACCAGGTCAGACGTGAATGAATAGGGGGAAGTCAACGAAGACTGGGCAGCCACACACCATGTGTTAAAATTATTAACGGCAGCCACACACCATGTGTGAACATCATTAACAGCGGTGGTGAAGACAACCCCTCCCGCTTGGGACAATACTAAACGCTGGCCCAGCCCTCCATGGCCCTGTTTTTTCTCAACTCGTCACAGCAGTTCCATGGAGACACAACATTTCACAGGTGGTAAACAATGTTCAAAGAAGTGAGGCTGCTTGTCCTAGGTCACACAGCAAGCGGAAGGCAGAATCCGAACCTTGATGTCCATCTGCCTGAACTGGAACTCCTTGCTCTGGCCTCAGATCTGGGCAGGGTGTCCATGTCACCTGCCTGGCTTATAAAGCTGGGGGTGGGCACTTCAGAAGACTTGGCTAGTGTTTTTGTTTTGTTTCGTTTGTTTTACGTTTATTTATTTGTGGGTAGTGGGTGGGACGTGCCACTATGCCCACATGTCAGAGGACCACCGTGGGAGTCGGGTCTCTCCTACCCTGTTGGTCCAGGGGATTGAACTCAGGTCGTCAGGCTTGGCAGCAAGCTCCTCCTATACCTACTGAGCCATCCCACCAACCCATGTAGTGGTTTTTGAGACAAGGTCTCATGTAGCTGAGGCTGGCCTTGAACTCATAGTCCTGCCTCTACCTCATAAGTGTTGGGGCTATAGGTGTGGCCAGCTCTCTCCTATGTTTTGTTCCTTCCTGCCTTCCTTCCTTCTTCTGTCCTGAGACCCCCAAATATAGCCTATGCTGGCCCCAAACGCAGCAAGATCGCCTTGCTTTCTTCTCTCTCTGTCTGTCTCTCTCAGACCGGGTTTCAGTATGTACCTCTAGATCAGGCTAGCATTGGACTTACAAGAGATCTTTCTGCCTCCGCCTCCCCAGTGCTGGGATTACAGGTGTGCACTCCCCCGCCCAGGAGCCCAGCCTCCTGAGTGGTGAGAACACTTGGGGAGGCTTATGCCACCCTACCCTGCCCAAGCTTCCTCTGCAGTTGGGGAAATTGAGCTTGTAACAGGGCAAGTACCTTCCGTGGCAAGGTCTGAAAGATTCGGGTGCTTGGAAAGAAACGGCAGCGGCGTCTGACTTTGTTTGCCATTTATTACAAAGTGTGACCGTGGACAGGGGACCGGTACCCACACCCCTGCTCCCGCAGACAAGTCTCTGCATTCCGGGGAAGCGGCGTCTTCCGTGGCGTCCACCAGGGGGCACCGGCTCCCGTCTCTCGGACCTGGTTCCTTCAGCGAGGCCGGCCCGCGGTTAACTGAAGGGTCCCAGCATCCCGGACCCCAGGCACCCCCGCCTCTGGCAGAGCTTGAGAGTTCGTGAGCAGCAGCACAGCGAAGACGCTTCTGATGAGGGCATAGTGGTGGCCACGACCCCACCGAGGTCGGAGGTCCAAGCCCGTGCCTCCTCACGGCCACCACCACCAGAGAGTCCATGCGTCTCAGCGTGGGCACACTTCCGTCCTGGCATCTTGAGGCTTTTCCTCATGGGGCTCGGTCGGAAGTGGCAGGGAGGATGTCCTTGAGCTCTGTCCTGGGGTACATAGCCTGATTCTTTTTCCGTGGGTTCTGAGAACGCAGGAGGGGTAGATAGGCAGTAGGTTAGAAAGTACAGGGCAAGGACGCCAGAGGTGGAGGCTGGCAGAAGCCAGGAGGGGCTAGAGGTGGGAAAAGAGAAAGGTGCCAAGGCCCAGGAGGGGAGGGTAGAGGAGGACATGGGGACGGAGACCACGCAAAGAAAGAGGGCTAGGGGAGGGCCCCTGCCTAGAATCCCCCAGTGAGGGGCTGGGGTGTGGCTCAGTGGTAGAGCCCCTGCCTAGAATACACAAGATCCTAGGTCCCACCTCCAGTCCCTGAACCACCTAACAAGCACAGAAGGAATGAGTTCCTTCTTTGCCAGCCCAGCCCCGAGCTCAAAGTCCTAAGAGATGACACAGCTTAAGAGAAAGGGTGGCCTTACACATGGGCAGCAGCCGTCCTGGGCACTGGCCACAGGGGCCTGCTTCTCCCTCCGGAGTTTTCCCGGCCCGGTCCCTGCCCCTCACCAGCTATGTGGCTGCCTCCTGGCCGGGTTCCGGTAGCTGCTGTTGCTGCAGGGCAGTGCCGAGCAGCTCCGTCAGGGCATCCAGCTTTCCTGCCAGCCCGTCGATTCTCTTCTCCAGGGTCCGGTGGGAGGTGCTGAGACCCAGCTGCAGGTCGCACAGGATCATATGCATCTGAGTAGGAAGGGGGCACTGGGGTGAGGGGGTAGGAGAGCCCCCGTCCGCTCTACAGAGTGGGACAGCAGAGCACCCGTAAGACCTCTCCAGCCCTTGAGGACCGGTCCTAAGCATCAACGACCTCATCTTCTGGGGACCACTCAGACACTGGTTGTTTGGGCAGGTGCTATTGTCAGGCTTAAGAGTCTCTTAAAAACCACAGGGCAGGGGTTGAAGAGATGGCTCAGTGGTTAAGGGCACTTGCTGCTCTTGCAGAGGACCTGGGTTCGGTTCCCAGCACCCACATGGTAGGTCTGTAATTCCAGTTTCAGGGGATCTGATGGCATCCAAAGGCACAAGGCATACGCATTCATATACACGCAGGCACAACAACCGCACACATAAAATAAAACAAATAAACCTAAGAAAATAAAACTCTAGGGGCGGGCAGGCTTAGGATGTAGCTCAGTTGGTAGAGTTCTTGTCTAGCACGCAGAAAGCTCTGGGTTTGATCCCCAGCATGGTGATTCACGTCTGTAATCCCAGCACTCAGTAAGCAGACAAGTAGTGATGGGAAGATCAGCAGTTCAAGGTCATCCTTGGCTACATGACTTAGTCACATGACTTAGTTTGAGGCCAGCCTGGGATTCTGAAGGCCTGCTTTCAAAACAAACAAACAAACAACATGCCCCAGGGGGTAGGAACCCTGTCCCCACACTAACAGCTGAGGGAACAGCATGGAGGCTGCACCGGAAGGCCTGAAATGAAGCATGTGCTCATTCCCATTCGCTATTTGTGGAACTGGTGGTGCCTGCCTTCCGGACCCAGACAGCCTCGTTCTGGAGTGGATCCTGGGGGTCCGTGAGCCTTTTTGGTTTTTGCCGGGGAGAGGGTAGAGTCTCATGTAGCCCAAGATGGAATTAAATTTACTGTGTTCCTGGAGTTAACAGACAGATGAGAACTGCCACGAGGGAGCTAGGAACCCACCTGGTCTATGGACAGCTGGGGACCAGACCCAGGGCGGCATGCATGCCAGGCAGGCTCTCATCCCCAACCTTGTGAGCCTGCTGTGGAAACTCTTGAATTCTGTGCCCAGGCTTCATCACCACAGACCCACCTATTCCGGCCACCCGAGCCACCCTGGCCTCTCTCCGACGTGTCATGTAGTTTGGGGACCTGTGTCTGGGGCTATGTTTACCATGGCCTTAGCGCCAAGGGCGGCTGTTTGAGCAGCGCCAGGCTAATGGCAAAAGGCGAAGACCACTACATAAAGAAGGAGCGGAGTGAGCCAGGCCAAAGGGGCGCTGTGACGTCACCGTCACCGGTGAGCACTAGCAGCGCTGGGACCCACTCGGCCCTCGGGCGCTCACTCCACGACAGCACCGGGAACTGGCTCTCTAAACAATGCCGTCACTTGTCGTCCTGTCCGCTAATTTTTTTTTTTTTTCTTTTCTGAGCTGGGTTTGTAGTCAGTGTTTGAGTTGCTCTGTAAATTTGCCTGGCTTTGTTTGTGTGAGCATTGCACCTGGAAGGAAATTCACATCCGTCCACATGTAAGTAATAAAGATAATTTGAAAACAAACATTGGCGCTCTTTGTGTGCCTTTTTTCTTAAGTCTGAAAGGGGACGGTGTCTTGCATGCGCGTGGGAAGCCCTTTTTCTTCATTCCGTAACTTTTACGATACACCTGAGCCTTCCTGCCCCCTGCAGTGATTCCTTTGTATTTATTTATATTTTTATTTTATTTTATTTATTTATTTATTTATTTATTTATTTATTTATTTATTTATTTATTTATTTATTTTTTTGGTTTTTCAAGACGAGGTTTCCCTGTGTAGCCCTGGCTGTCCTAGAACTCACGCTGTAGACCAGACTGTCTGTGAACTCAGAGCTCCACCTGCCTCTGCCTCCCAGGGCCTCCCGCAGACTTCCCAAGGCCCTGGTACCTTGGAGATATCCACCATGGAATTCACTTGTTCCCGAAGCTTCCGGTGTTTCAGCCGTACCTGGCGGAACCTGTGGGGAGGTGGGCTCAGCTCTAAGCCTGGTCCTGGGTTACCAGAGTGTAGGGGTGAGGGGGGCAGAGCACAAAGAACCGAATGTGGGAATCCAGGGCCACTGACACTGTGTCGCGGGCCTGGGCATGCACACAGGAGCCATGCAGAGAGGTGTCAGGGACACAGGGGGACCCTCACGTGTGGATGGCGGCCAGCAACTTGCGCTGATGCCTGCGGGCAGCTCGGGAGTCCTTCCTGCGAGTGTGCTTGTAATACATCCACGCCTCCTGCAGGAGCCGCGCAGCCGACTCCTTCATCTGATGGGGGGACACAGTGTCAGGGGAGAGGGGTCCCTGGGAACCTGGAAGACCCGGCTTAGGAGTGGGGGGGGTGGAGTTTTTCCTTTAGGGTTTTGCTTTGTAGCCCATGTTGACCACAATTTCCCTGCCATTTTCCTGCCTAATCCTCCTGGGTTTACTGGCATGAACTACCCACCACGCCTAGCTTTAAGGGGAACTAGCTTTAAAACAAAACAAAACAAAACAAAACCAGGTCTCTTGTAGCCCAGTTGGCCTTGAACTCACTATGCAGCTGAGGATGACCTTGAACTCCTGGTCCTCTTGTGTCCAGCCTCTGAATGCTGGGGTTACAGGCCTACACCACCATGCCATTTATATGGTGCTGGGCGTTGAACCCAGGGTCTTAGGCACCCTAGGCAAGTGATCTGACAACTGAACTGCAGCCCCGGTCTGGGTGCCCAGTACCCAGCCTCACCTCTTTGGTATAATGGATGTCCATCATGAAGTTGTGCACATGTTTCTCCGCCTTGTTAAACTCCAGCTTCCGGGCCACCACAGCCACTAGCAGGGCAGTGCAGCAGACGCCCTGTGAGTACACCAAGCAAGGCACGTGAGGCTGTGGGCCTCTGCGGGTCAGCCATACGTGCGTCCCCAGCTCCCTCCCACCATCTCAGGGCCACAGAGGGCAGGAACAACCGATGCCACCATCATCAGGCTGGCCTTGAATTCACCACGTAACCAAGGATGACCGTGAACCTCTGACCCTCCTGCCTCCAACTCCAAAGTGCTGGAATTACAGGCACATACCACTCTGCCCAGTTAACGCCACACTGGGGACCTAACCCAGGTCTTCGTGCATGCTGGACAAGCCAGAATCCCAGCTCTGTTTGTTTAGGTGGTGCAGACAGAGTCATTCTATGTAGCCCAGGCTGCCCCCAAACCTGCATCAATCCTCTGGCCTCTGCCTCTCTGGTTCTGGGGTCACAGGCACACCCCACTCGTCCCCTCCCCACAGCTTGAATGCCTTTCCTTAGATGACTAAATTGGAAGAGGAGGAGGAGGAGGAGGAAGAGGAGGAGGAGGAGGACTACCTCTTGAGGAAAGAGACATGTCCTCCCAAGTGTCTGTGTAAATGCCACCAGTTGCCACCGGCAAAGCGTCAGAGCGGAGACTGGCAGAGCACCAGTCTGCTACCGAGCCAAGAGCTGTGACCCAGTACCGGGGTGGGGGTGGGGGGGACAGCGCTGAGGCTGGAGGATCAGCCTCTGTTACATAGCAAGCTTGAAGCCATCCTGGGCTACAGGAACCCTTTGTCTCCCCCCCCTCCGCCCCCCCCAAAAAAAAAACACAAAAAAGGGCCGTCGAATGGCTCAGGGGGCAAAAGGCACTTGCCACTAGGCCTGACAATCTGAATTCGAACCCCAGGACCCTCATGGTGGGAGGAGAGAACCCACTCCCCAAAAGTTGCCCTGACAGACAAGCCCTCCCAAATAAATCGTTAAATACAATTTTAAAATGGTATCGTCTAGTTATCTCATTTTACACAGTTTCAGTTTTTCTTTCTGTCGGAAGATGCAGCCCTGGGGGTCCCTGACCCTTGGGAATATTTTTCTGGCTTTTCCTTTGACCCAAAGTCTCACTACTGTGTGGGTGTCTCACTTGTCTGCCATACCCCTGGTCACCCATGGAGTCAAGGTTTAGGGACCCCACATGTCCTGGGGCAGCATCAGGGCGAGGAGCTGGGGCATAGGTGCCCCGTGGGAAGGCCTAGACCAAGGCGCTGGAGCTGGGCCCTGAAGGAAAGCGCTGGGTGAGAGGAACTGGGTAGGGGGGGGTCTGCGGTTGGAAGGAGGGTAACTGTAAGGAGGAAACAGCCTGGGGCTAAGAGCTTCTGCCCTGCCTGGGGGGCTCCGGGGCTAGGGTGGGGGCAGCTAGATGCTCAGGATCCGTTAAAGCAACTGTCCCCCCAACCACCGCTTCCTGGGGTCAGACAGATGTGGGGATCAGTTACAGCAACCGTCATTACCCACCCCCCTCACGCCCCGCCCGTCCGTCCCCTCCCCCACTGCGTTTACTAAGTACTTATCTGGCACGATGTTCTTCATCATCAACAATCCTGCTGGGGAACCCACTTTACAGACAGGGACACTGAGGCCCAGAAACATCATGCACTTTGCTTGAGCTCCCCAGTTGGCAAGGGACAAAGTGGGGTTTGAATCTATGAAGCCTGGTCCCCCAAACATACTCTGGATGATGACTCTGTGCCCTCGGGGAGGATGGGAGACTGGATCCCTTGGTCAGGAAGAAAATAGGGCCGGGAAGTTGGGGCTTGGGTCTGAGGAAATGAAACCTAGGTCCTAGGAAGGACTAAAGGGGCAGCAGGTCTCAAGAGAAAAATGGGTCATCTGTAGTATCCAGCATGCCCAAGGCTGAAGCAGGAGGCCTGAGGGTTTGAGGACAGCCTGGAGCACACAGGGAGGTTGGGGCTAGCCTGGGATACTTAGCAGAACCCTAACTTGGAGGAGGAGGAGGGGGAGGATGAAGAGGATAAAAGGGGCGGGATATCTGGGTGTTGAGTAAAGACTGAGGCTGTGTGTGTGGCGGGGTGGAGGCGGGCGGGTAGTCCGGACATCCACACTCCTCAGGGATGTCAGGGAGGGCCCACGTTGTCCCACGGTTTCCTAAGCCGTGAGAATAAGCAAGCAGTGACTCACCATGACTCCAGTGCACAGGCAGACGATTTTGCCCCACATGGTGCCAGGTACCACGTCCCCGTAGCCGATGGTCAGGAATGTGATTGGGATCAACCACAGTGTGTCTGTGAGGTGTCCCGTGGCATTGACAGCCTGCCTATGGGCAAAGGGAACTTAGTTCTGAGACGCCAGCCTGGGGGTGCTGGTGTGGTTTACCCCCCCCCCCAAAAAAAAACTCCTCTTCCCCCTTCCCCACTCTTAATCCAAAGAGGCACCTGGACAGAAAGCCAAAAATGCTAGCCTTTTCTCTGCTGTGTGACCTGGCCCAGACGCTCAAGAGTAGAAATCCAGGTCTGGCTTGCTCTAGAGTTAGCAGTCACGACCCCTCGGGAGGGTTGAACCACCCTTTCTCAGGGGTCACTTATTGGACATCCTGTATGTCAGATGTTTACATTAAGGCCCATAACAGCAGCAGAATTACAGTTATGAGGTAGCAATGAAAATAATTTTCTGGTTGGGGGTCACCACCACATGAGGAACTGTATTCAAGGGTCACAGAGTTAGAAAAGCTGAGGACCGCTGATATAGAGCCTGAGTTCAGCTAGGCAACCAGGGCTGTTGACTTAGTGTGTGTGGATGAGGGCTAAGCCTGAAGACGCAGCCTGAAGGTCACTAGCCAGGCTCTATGCAGAGGAGGCCATGCCTTTAACATCCACAAAGGAGGCTACATGCTCTTCAAGTGATAGAGCAGGATCAAACGATTGACCTCTCTGTTGTTGCTTGCTTTTTGAGACAGGGTTTCTCTGTGTAGCCCTGGCTGTCCTAGGACTTGTTTTGTAGCCCAGGCTGGCCTGGAACTCAGAGATCCACCTGCCTCTGCCTCCTGAGTGCCACCACACACAGTTTCTGACTGACTTCTCTTAAAAAAAAAAAGAAAGAAAGAAAAGAAAAAAGGCTTATCAGGAGCATGGCACAGCGGCACACACCTCTAACTCCAGCATTTAGGAAGCTGAGGCACAACTGGGGCTAGCCTGGGCTCCAAAGGTTTGGCTTTGTTAGGTTGGAAAACCTGCCTTTGCCACAGTCCCTGTTACCAGCTCTCACACCGTAGGCTGGGTTTCTCTGTAAGGGAGACATGGAGGATCTGTGGGGATCCAGTGGCAGCTCCGATCTGTTTACAGTTGCTAAGCAACAGCTAGGGAGTGCAGGGAATTCCTCTGCAAAGTGGTTCCAAATGCATGCTTTCCAGTCACAGCCGGCACTTACTGTACCTGCTAATTTGGAAAAGCTGTTCCCTTTCAACAAGGTGGTTACTTAGGATTGGCCCTGTTACCAGAGTCTTAATCTGGACTCAGTATGGGAGCCAGAGGGTGGGGTCGCCTAGGGGTGTGTGTGTGTGTGTGTGTGTGTGTGTGTGTGTGTGTGTGTGTGTGTGTGTGTGTGTGTGTTGTAGGTGGCCCAGAGGATTGCTTGGGAACAACCTATTGCGGGCGTGCGATTTCCCAGCCAAGAAGGATGGAAATTGTGAGCCTGCCCTGCTGATGATGCTGGCTGGCCCGCAGCCTTACAGCCTGCACCGCCATACCCAGCAGGCCCTGATGTCCCCTCCCTGTGCTCCAGGCCTCTCACCTCTCAGCCACAGAGAGCACCCAAGCTGTGGTGAGCCAGAGGCCGAGCGTGAGGCCCAGCAGCAGGCGACCCGGGTGCGTGTTCATGTAGAGCTTGGCCACGAACCAGTGGCGGAAGCGGACTTGGTTGAGCGCCCCGATGCTGCGGTAGGACGCGTTGAGCAGGACGCCGCTGCGCAAGAGCACTGCGCGAGGCACCAGGTAGAGACGCAGCAGCATGGCCAGGGACAGCAGCGCCTCGCCCTCGCCCAGGAAGCTCGGCCAGGGCTGCGAGTCGGTGACCTCTCCGGCCAGGGCGCAGTGCGGGCTCCGCAGCGGCACCGGGTGCACGCCACACACCAGCAGCTCCAGCAGGATCTGCGCCACCTGCCGCCGGGTCAGCGCCACCCGCCAGTCCCGGAGCCCGTTGTCGGTCATGAACAACTGCCGGGAAGGGGCAGACAGGAGGAGAGAGGGTCAGGTGCAGGGCAGGCGGCGGCACACCCGGCCTGCGCCCCGAGATAAGATGTGGGGGACGCCCTGGGCCAGGAAAGTATAGAGATAGCTGCGCGGGGCGTGGGGCTGGGGAGAGGGGGTGGGGAAGGGCAGGCGGGACTCCAGCAAGCCACCTCTCTACCTTCTCCATTCTCTCAAACTCTCCTGGCTAGTTCCTGCTGACTTCTGGAGTACAGTCCTTCTGCACGAACTGAGTGTCTGCTGTGCGCACTGACAAGTTCTATACACTATGCATTTGTAGTGAACGAGACAGGAACCGTCTACCCTCCAGGGCTTGTTTGTACCCTTGGGGGCTCTCCCACTTAGGGCCCTGGAATAATGTCACTGGGAGGAACAGTAGGGCCAGTGGGATGGCTCAGTGAGCAAAGGCACTTGCCACCAAGCCTGACTCCCTGAGTTCCATCCCTAGGACCCACTGCTGTAGAAGGAGGGAAGAGACCCCATAGAAACTTCCGCATGGACACTGTGGCACGCACGCATCCACGTGTAACACACACACACACACACACACACACACACACACACACACACACCCCGTAATTTATAGCCAAGGCTGGGCTCAAATTCGGGATCCTCCTGCCTCCCAAGTGCTGGGACTACAGGACAGTGCCATGTAGCATTTTGGATGCCCGAGGACAGCTCTGTCCCCTCTGCATGTGACTCAATAAATGCTCATACAGGGTGAGATTCATGTACTAGCACTCTCAATTTACAGATCTGGAAATTGAGGCCTGGGTCTCACAACGGGGCGATGGAACAGTGGGCCCAGAGAATAAATGACTCTGACTTTATTTTTTTCTCAATGCTGGAGATAAAACTCTTTAGCATGCTTGACCAGCACTCTACCACTGAGCCACACCCCAGCCCCTCACTGGGGGATTCTAGGCAGGGGCTCTACCACTGAGCCACACCCCAGCCCCTCACTGGGGGACTCTAGGCAGGGGCTCTACCACTGAGCCACACCCCCAGCCCCTCACTGGGGGATTCTAGGCAGGGGCTCTACCACTGAGCCACACCCCCAGCCCCTCACTGGGGGATTC